TCTAGATTAAGGAAGGATTTAGGTATGGTTCTCGCTATGGATGATTTTCAAAAACTCCAGAGCATGACCGACCAGAAGGCACAGAGGGTTTGGGATCTGATAAATAAGCGACATGACAAGAAATTGCTTAGTTATGCGATAATAAGACAAGGCAAGACCGAGCTAACCCGGGCGAATTGTGATGGTTCTCTATTGAAGGCATCAACTGTAACAGTCGAAGATAGGAGAAAGGTTGTGAACTTATCGTTAATACCTCTTGATTCTAAAACGACGGATCTCTTAAAGAATGGGTTACATTTCTCACCAGGTAATGAAAGAAATGTTCTTAGTGATATCCTCGTGGAAGTTGTCAACATAACTGATAAATTTCCAGAAGATACAAGGCGGGAAATGGAACTGTAAATAATCCCAAGGATCCTGACACATCGAGAACCGATAAAATTGAGCAGATTGGCTGGTGTTCGGAAAAATTACAAATAATTGATCAAATAGTTCATTAGGCCGATAAGGGAGGAGCTATGGTTGTAATATTCAGGAAACATTACACGGAGAAAATGAAAAGTATCCTAGGCGATCGAAACACCTATCAAATACTAAGAAAGGATCCAGCCACTAAGATCAACGCGACACTGAAGAATATGCTCAAGGAAATGCATTATAATGGGGAAATTGACAGATGGACGATTAAATCTTTATTCAAAACTGACGCAAGACCACCGAAAGCCTACGGACTACCAAAGATACACAAGGGAATCCTCTAAGACTAATAGTAAACAAGAAGCATGGAGCAATGCATAGGCTAGCGAAATTCATTTGCTTGAAGCGCAAGAAAGTAAATGACAGACTCCTGAATACCGTCAAGAATTTTTATGAATTTTCTCAACGGATGCAGAATATTCGGTTTGTGTAGTCAGAGTTGTTGGTGAGTTTCGATGTACAATCCATGGACACAAACATCTCAGGCGAGAAGGCGATCAGCGCCTTAATGGAGATATTGCATCGAGAAGAGTATATCCGGGAGACAGAACGAATACGGAAGGAGTCGTCAACACGACTAATCAACTTGACAGTTAATATAACACATTTCACATTTAACGGCAATATCTACGAGCAAATATTTGGACTACCGATGTGATCACCACTCTCACCTCTTTTGGCAAATATATATATGAACGAGTTGTAAATGTAATTCGCGAAGTCACCACTGCAACCAAGAGTGCTCATGTGATACTTGGATGACTACTTTGCACTTTGGTCACATGGTAAGAAAGATTTAAGTGAATTCCTCAATTTCATTAACCAACTTGATGAAAGAATTGAGTTTACAATGGAGGTTAAGGAAGATGAACGACTACCTTTTCTGGATGTTGAAGTCATACGCTCCAGAGGGATATTCAAAAGGAAACTATAAAGAAAGGATTTGTGTGCAGGAATAATCCTTAATTTTCAGTCTCATCATAACTATAGACTGAAGATCGGGATACTGAGGAGTATGATCATCAGAAGCCTACGACTAATAGAAAAAGAATTCTGGGACGAGGAGTTGGACAAACTGACGCGGATTTGTCTAAGTAATGTATACCCCAGAGAATTTATCGATAAAAAATGTACATGTTATAAAGGGCCGATTTCAACTTGGATTTTATGAAAATCAGATCAGGAATCAGGATAACAACCAAAAGTGGATCTGCTTGCCCTCATCAAAATTGAGCCGATTGCGACCTTTGTTAGGAAAATGGAATATCGAGGTGATAACAAAGAAGAAGAAAACACTTTTCACCGGTCTGGCAACACAACACGAGAAGACGGCTAAACTTGAGTATTCGGGAGTTTATCGCATCAAATGCGGTAAATGTGAGCAGAAGTACATCGGTGAAACAGGTCGAAAAATCGGCTTACGAATCAAGGAACATCAAAGACTCTGCAGGAAGATGGATAAACAAAGATCAGAAATAGCGCAACACATTTCACGGACGGAACATGAAATCGACTGGAAATCGACGGATAGGTTGGCTGGATATGGTGAAAATACAAGAAAACGCAAGATCCTAGAGGCCATTGATATACTGACTGAGAGGAATCTAATGAAAGGAGACTTGAAGAAGGCAGGATCAGCGAAAACTTTGCATATTGCTTAAACAAACTCGGAGAAGACCAGACAACAGGAAGATCAGCTAAAAGAAGACGATTGGAACAAGGTAATATCATTAATTTTAGGAAAAGAGATCGAAGGGAGATGAGAAAGCAAGAATCAGAAGCAAAGAGGTTAGGTCTTCAGTGAGCCTTATTAAGACAAGTAGAATCACGAAATTTGTGGGTTGGAACACAAGAGACTAGTGCATAGGAAGCGATGGACATGGTATTACAGATAGAAACAGGAAAGACGCGGTGGAGACTAGAGCTATTTGGCTAACACGACTATTGTTAGCCAACCAGCTTTAGCTTCAACTGTTTCTATCCTCTTTCTATCTCTAATACCAAGTATATGACTTCCCATGCCATAGCCTCTTGTGTGCCAATCCGCAAATGTTGTGGTTCAATATTGAACCAAATCAAAACAAGCTCTACCACAAAATTTGTGGGTTGATACACAAGAGACTAGGGCATGGGAAGTCATAGACTTGGTATTAGAGATAGAAACAGGATAGACGCGGCGGCGATAGGTGCTAAGGGGCTGACAGTAGGCCTGTTTTTAACATAAATGTGGTCCATGTAGAAAATGAGTGACCATG